TACCATACCAGAATAAAGTAACTGAGAAAAAAACCTTTTTGAGTCAAACGAATCATAGGAAACCAAGATGGAGCATGTTAACTGGGGTGCTATCGGATGTAAGAATAGACTCATGTCAGATCAGCTGATTCAGAATTAGGCGAATGAAATTGTAAAAGATGTTACCATAGATAACATTCCTAGAGTCATGCTGTTATGACAAAACAGGGATATTTATTCTATCTTGTGTGGGAACTGGGTCACAATAAGTCATAGCGAAATACACACCGTGCCAGGTGGGAACAGGGTGAATATACATTGTAAATAAACTCATGGTATATGATCAAAACTTATTCAGAGGCGAATGCAGTGGATCACATTGAACAGCCTTTTATTTTTGTATGTTCAACTCAGGAATTACTGGCATGCTGCATGAAAATTGGCTGAAATGACTACATAGTATAAATGGTGAACATAATGATGCACAATTTCAATCAAGGCTTTTGGTGAAGTTACTAAAATTTGTTCTGATAGACAACATAAAAAACTTGTTTCTTTGAGTGACAGTATATTTTCACAAAAACACTGGGGCCAAAATTATTAACAACCCTTTTTTAAATAGAAGAAAAAACAGGTGCCTGAGATTTGATTTATTGGATCTGTTTTGCCTCGTTGGCTAATCTTCCACGCATTAGCATGCAATAATTCACAAATTATTCAAAACTTTCAGTAATTGTTGACACACATATCGTAAACATACATGCATACGCACACATAACCTACTAGCGTCCAAAGGAAATACCCAGTAAGTCACATTTTGATAGTTTGGAGAAAAATTGGGTACAATTTCCAGCCCTTCCACTAAGATTGGGAATGATACCTTTGAGAAGTTTGGTGATGGAAAACACTTTTAATCAGCTGCTCTGAAATACTTTTGAGAGTTGTCCAAAAATTTGTTACATAACACGATTTAATGTGACTTACTGTGTTTTATTGTCAGAATTCCTGTAAGAATGCAACGATAAAACCTAGTAGGTCTCAGTTCTGAGCAGTTACATCTGTCAATTTCACCAGCAATGATGTTGTCCATCTTGTTTTTGGAGGAAATGAATGAAGAATAAATTAATAAAGAACAATTCATAGAAATTTAGTAATGCTCAAATTGAAACATTGATGAAATAGAACCATCATCAATTTATCAGTTGGAAATATCCAGTCAGTGCCAAGACTGATCGAATAGTTCCACGCAGTATCAACCAGTAAAAAACTAAACATAAATTTCATTTCCAAGACAAGGCTATTCCAAGCTCTGATCATAGATGTAATCAGTGGTCTCATCGCCATAGCAAATCTTACTGGGTTTTACCTTGGGATACTTGACTAAGCTGTGTACTCGCTATGTTTTACCTCTGTGCACTGCAAACCCTGATAGTGTGGTGAACTCAAATGTTTTGTGGAAACTGACTACCTCAAAAAAATTGAGTATGCCAACTTAATGATCTTGTGTTCACAGCACTTAAAACATGTAAAAAAAATAACTTTACCTTATTTTCTTTAAGTTCCTTCCACACAATGCAATTAAGTTGGCCTACACAATTTTTTTGAGGTAGGCTAATCGGTTTCCACAAAACATTTGAATTCGCCACACTGTCAGGGTTTACAGTGTGGTTTTGATGCACTGGTAGACATTATGGCAATGAAAACACTTTATTATGATGCAAATACACACAGAAAGTTTTCGGCCAAAATGTGACTTACTAGTTATTTCCTTTGGACGGTAGCTTATGATGGTTGCGCTTTTTATTGCAGTAGCAAAGAAAAACCCAATAGTCAAGCCATTTGATGAAACAAAATGAATTTTTGTTGTAGAAATGTTTCCTTTGATGAAAGTAACTTTCATTTGCTTTCAATATTTTGATGCATACTTATGTAAGCACATGGCACCATGTTTAACTGCGACTTGGAGTGTAATCCAAACCCTGAATAAACCAGTAAACAAAAGCACTCAGAGAGCAAAACATCCCCTGCCAGAGTCTCGACTGCGACATATGTATCATCAGTCTGCCTGCAGTGTACGTGCAAAGTTTCATGGATGTCCAATGAAAACTGTAAGAGGAGTTGATTTCACCAGCCAAGTACCTTCCACTACAGACGGACGGACAGATGGACTGCGCCACGACATAATCTCCTTTTGGACTTTCGCCCGGCAGGGGATAAAAAGTGTGACAGCCTATTCCTAATTTCTTCGACTGCTGGGCTCATTTATAAATACTTTATTTGAACAAACATATTTTATTTACATGTTAATGCAGTAGCATTAGGTTTGCAAGCACATCATTTACAAATCCACAAACAACTACTTGGATCAAGCCTGTTGATTTTCTCTCAGATTTCCTCCAGGACTCCCTGCTGTTGTTTACGATCTAAATTTGGTTATGCACTGTTACCTGGCTGCCCATGATAGCGGGGTTCTCAGCGCAGAGGCTTTTATGCATTTTTGCGAGATCATGCTACAAGATTAAAATGACTTTGTGTGTCTTCAAATCCACCTCCCATTTTACTTCATTATATGTTTTTCTAATATACAGCTGTGGTTCTCAAACCATGTTCTGAGGGCACAGCATGCTGGTTTTTGTTATAACTACAACTGAAATGTCAAAATTTTAGATAGTCATTAATTTTTCTGAATTGCATTATTGTGTTTATGTGTCTCATGTAGGGTGTTCCCGATAATAAAGGTTAATGAACAAGACCACTCCTAATGCGCCTTCCTATTCGACCGCACGCCTATATCTACTGCCTTCATTCCCACAATCCCCGCTCGTCTCGATTCTATGTCCCTCCCTTCCCCTCTCCAAGAAGGAAGCAAGAAACAGCCACCACCTGGGACCCCGTGGGGCTTAGGAGCCTACATGAACTCCGACGAGAGATGCGAGCCCCACCCTGAGTCTCGCCACCTGGGGCTCCCAATGTTCGCACAATCACTGACCAAGTCCATACAACATCGCCTTCGCCCCGATCCCTTATCCACCCTTCCGCTGAATACTCTCCTCCACTTTGGGAGTGGTCCAGAGTTCATTAACCTCTTTAAACTGCAATATGTCAAAAATATCTATGTTTGCTTTGAAGAGTTCCCCATTTGTACTGAATTATATTTCGCTGGGTAAAGAGGAATTGTAAATTATAAAATTAAAAAATCAATTGATGTCTAATTGGTGAAGGTGTGGACAACTGGTAATAAAAATGAGCCATTTGTTTGATAATGAAGAATTTGCAGAGCTAATTATGATAAGTCAAACATGTTTAGTATTATTTTTGTGTTTATTTTTTGTGGAAAAACTATTTGAAAGAACTTCAACGCCTGTGTTCAGAAACCTAATTAGCCGGTTATTGAATCCCTGCAGCTCTGAATTCGATCAGTAACAAAAATGTCTTGTTTATAGTTGTTCCTAAGCCAAAAATAGCAATAAATAAATAAATAAATAAATAAAAACAGTACACTCAATATGAGGATCGGGCTTTCATTGTTCATGAAATCCATTCCCATATTTTTTTCATAAGGATAGTCTCAGAGGGAGAATGGTCCCTCTAAATATGGGAAAACAACTAAATGAGGGAAATTAGCTGCTTGTTGGTAGTTTGACGGCCACAGCACTGAGTTTGACCAGTTTGACACGCACAGCTTTACGGAATCAGAGATATTGCTGTGACCCTTATTCACCAGTAGAGGGCAGAAACACCCGAGGCAGAATAAAATCACAATCGATGAGAATCATTGGTGGCAGCCTTGATATGATTAGAATGGGAACTATTCGGCCCGAGCCCAATCTCCACCCAAAAGTCTTAGGCCCCGCACCCTCCAGAACTTAACTGGTACGTGCTCAAGTGCCAGAAGCTGCAAGGGCTCAAAACGATATAAAAATGAATGGGACAGCACTTTGCAATAAGTCATATTACCTCGATGACGCCAAAACATGTTACCTATCGTTTTGGGATTGAGACATTATTTTAAGTTTATTTTCTCTTTTTAATTTATTCACGGATAAGGAGGCACATACAGGACCGACTGCGTGATGTGAACAATTATCAGGATCTTGCCTTACAAAGTGGGTGAGACAGAATTGTCAAATAATCAATTTACTCGTTTTCGTCAAAACAGCATCATTACGCAAAACGAAAATGGTTGATGAATGTAATGTATGTTTGCATTCTACTAATTTCATGCGTCATGTGTGTTTTTTTGAGTTACAGTTGTTGCTCCTTCCGTGCTCCATGTGCCATGTGTTATGATCCAGACAAGGAACCAAATGCAGATTCAAAGCTCAATCCACAAGGGAGTGTTTATTAAGGGGAATACGGTCTTTGAAGTGGGAAAGGCCATGGCCCACAGCTGCTGAGGGGCAGTCCAGCTAGGCTGGTAATGACTGCAGAGGGGAGGGGTGTGTCTGCACCCAGGCCAGTGGCCTTCCCGAGGCAGAAGCCAGGTGGCGAATCCCCCTCGCCGAAGCAGGACAGCTTGACAGTGGAACCAAAGGATTTAGCAGGAATGCAGTCCCAATCCTAGAGACTGCTGAAGGATTGTGAGATGTTCCTAATAAACTGACTCAGAGGAATAGACTGGAACAATGGATTAACAAGAATGCGGCACCAATCTTGTAGATTTATAAAAAGGCTTGGGCACTTGTTCCTACTAATAAGACTCCAAAGAGGAATTATAATTTATTTATCATTAATTTACTAAAAACACACTGAAGAGGAGCTAAGCTCCATACTACTCCATACACATTAAGAACCATCCCAAAGCAATCAGCGTGGAGTGGAGGTTGGGTATATTACACAATCCAGCAGCGCGAGCACTCCAATCTACATTAATGCAGGCTTACAGTCTACATCAGTGCAGGATCACAAACTACCTTTCTCTCAAGTGCAGAATTTCTTTGTGTCCACGATGGAGGCAACACCACATGCCTACAAATGTGAGTTCCTTGGGGTTATTCCCAAAAGATAAGATATATGTGGGTGGCATGGTGGTGCAGTGGTTAGCACTGCTGCCTCACAGCAAGACAGTTGCGGGTTCAAGTCTGGCCTGGGGCCTTTCTGCGTGGAGTTTGCATGTTCTCCCCATGTTCATGTGAGCTTTTGCCCATAGTCAGCTGGGATAGGCTCCAGCTCCCTCGCGACCCTAAGCAGGAAGAAGCGAGTATAGAGAATAGAGAGATGGATAAGTAATACGTAGCCTTACCACAGACTGACATTAATTGACTATTCTGTGAACACGATGAAACTTGAGGTAACATTGTATTTTGGATTGAACATGCCGTTGAGTACCCAAAAACAGTACATGTGTTGACGCAGTTTGACTTGCTTGCCTGCCTGTGTAACGCAATTGCAGGGACTGTGGAAAAATTAACAATTTATTTTGTTGAAGACTGGCAAAGGAAAAAAAAGTTTTAAAAATGTCTGGAAGTGAATTTTTGTAATTGTTATTTTTTTCTTTCACAAGCTTATTATGCCATAAAAGTATGTCATGGCACATACTACACCTTCATCTTTGTCAATGCTTTGTATAAAATGATCTTTTAGATAAATATTCACTTAATTACAATATCCTTTCTGAGCTGTGTATCATTAAGCAACTTGACCGTCATCAGAAGTCTGTAACTCCTAGAAGTGCGCAAGGACTCGGGTGCATCTCAAAGCGTAGGCTGCATCCTTTGAAGGCTGCATTTTTAGGGATTGTCACTTAATTCCATCTGCCAAACTGACATGACATCATTTCATCTCCGTTAAACAGCTTTGGTTTAAGTGAGTCGTCATTGATTTCCCTAACTGTAACCTAAACGTGAACCCCTAACTTTAAACCTAGCACCAAACCTGAGCCTAACCCAAAATTTAACCAAATCCCTTGCCCTAAATATTAGTTTTGTAGAAGGATGTAGCCTACACTTAGAGATGCACCCATTGAGTGTCGTAGACGGCATTTGCCCGTTGATATCATATCAGGTGAGTTTGGGCTCCTCTAGCGGTGAATCCTAAAACTGTCAGGGGAGGCGATTATGTTCGAACCAAATTGCCGCAGCTCTCCCTGAATGCAGTGCAGGCTGTCCACAAACCAGTTCAGCTATAAAGTGCATGGAATCATGGGATTTTTTCCTAAAGCAAACCAACATAGCGTTATCTCCCACAATTCAGCGTGTTTTATGTTAATGAAGCCGTCGGGAATTACCAACAATGAACGAATTTCCCAGACGGTGGGCTTCTCTGCACAAAGTGACAGATTTCGTGAATTTATACCGCAGATCATGCGATCAGACATCACATCATGTGTTATACTTGGCTGCAGGTCGCCATTGCCGTTTACCCAATCTAAGTTACCGTTGTTCACTTCTAGGAGTAATAGACCTTTGCCTTCATATATAACACAACAAGTCTTCCGGTAGGCATGGTGATGACTACTTCTGCTTCCTGTAGGATAAAGGGCAAGGGCATCCCAAAGTTTTTTAAATGTATGTACTCCCTTCCCCGTAATGAAGCAGTGAGGGAGACTTCACATTGAGTGACAGTGCTGATGGTGAGGGAGTGGTTTGGGACAAGGCCATGCACTGTCAAGGTAGAAAAATACCATCCTCTTCTGTAAGTGTATTTGCACAGTTATGTGCATACTGAGCCTAAAGCCCCTTTCACACCAGGCTGCGGAGGGGCGCGGAGCAGCGCGGATGGCCATACGCAACAAAAATGACAGGTTTGCAGGAAACTGAGCGCGGATGACCCCTTCCAGAATAGGAAGTGCGTGTGGATCACGTGTGGAACAGGTATGGATGCATCTGTACTATGTTCAAATCACGTGTGCAATACGCACAGGTGCGTTCTGACTGCATTCATAACACGCTTCATTGCGTATGGGAGACCTCCGCAGTGGCCTGCGCAAAAAACTTAAACATTTAATTTTTGCGTTCGATGTCTGCGCACCACTGCACATTACTGCGTACCCCTGCACGTCCCCACGGATGTCTTTGCATTCTCCATTAACGCGGATGGCCGCGCCCCTAGGCAGCCTGGTGTGCAAGGGGCTTAGCAGTATTCTGTTAAATATGGTCAATATTTTATCACAAGTGACGATCAATGTGAAACATCGCTGGCGCTACACTTACAAGTAATGATGTAGCCGAGTTTTTGTCCTAAGTGAGAATTATTTAGGGGAATTTTACCTAAGAGATGACTTTATCTTGCACAACAAATAATACAACCCCAATTCCGAAATAGTTGGGACAAAGTGTAAATTGTGAATAAAATCAAAATGCAATGACTTTCAAATCACACCATCCAGTATTTTATTCACAATAGAACAGAGATAACATAACAAATGTTGAAACTGAGAAATTTTACAATTTTATCCACAAAATGAGCTCATTTCAAATTTGATGGCTGCTACAGGTCTCAAAAAAGTTGGGACAGGGGCCTGTTTACCATGGTGTAGCATCCCCTCTTCTTTTTAACAAGGAGTGGAGGCGTCTGGACATTGAGGAGACAAGTTTCTTGAGTTTAACCATTGGAATTTGATCCCACTCTTGTTTAATACAGGCTTCCAGCTGCTGGAGAGTTTTGGGTCCCCTTTGATGGACTTTTCGTTTAATTATGTGCCAAATGTTCTCAATTGGTGAGAGATCAGGACTGCAGGCAGGCCAGTTCAGCACACAGACTCTTCTACTACGAAGCCATGCTGTTGTTATAGCTGCAGTATGTGGTTTTGCATTGTCCTGCTGAAATACACAAGGCCTTCCCTGGAATAGATGTCATCTGGAGGGGAGCATATCTTGCTCTAAAGCCTTTATATACCTTTCAGCATTCATGGTGCGTTTTAAAACATGCAAGTGCCCCACACCATATGCACTAATGCATCCCCATACCCTCAGAGATGCTGGTTTTTGAACTGAATGCTGATAACAGGAGGGGTGGTCTTTCTCCTCTTTAGCCTGGAGGACACAACGCCCATGATTTCCAACAAGAATGTCAAATTTGGACTCGTCTGACTACTAGACACTTTGCCACTTTGCTACAGTCCATTTTAAGTGAGCCTTGGCCCACAGAACACGGCGGCGCTTCTGGATCATGCTCAACAATGGCTTCCTTTTTGCATGATAGAGTTTTAGGTGGCATGTGTGGATGGCATGGCGGACTGTGTTTACAGACAGTGGTTTCTTTAAGTTTTCCTGGGCCCATTTAGTAATGTCAATGACAGAATCATGCCGGTGAGTGATGCAGTGGCGTCTGACGGCCCGAAGATCACGGGCATCCATTATAGGTCTTCGGCCTTGTCCCTTATGCACAGAGATTTTTCCAGTTTCTATGAATATTTTGATGATGTTATGCACTGTCGATGATAAGATCTTCAAAGCCTTTGCAATTTGACGCTGAGGAACATTGTTTTTAAAGTATTCCACAATTTTTTTTTTTTACGCAAGCCTTCACGGGTGGGAGAGCCTCTGGCCATCTTTACTTCTGAGAGACTCAGCCTCTCTAAGACATTCCTTTTATAGCCAATCATGTTACACACCTGATGCCAGTTAATGTCATTACTTGCTAAATGTTCTATCAGCTGATTCTCTTATACATTAATTGTGTTATCAGCCCTTTTTTGCCTGTGTCCCAACTTTTTGAGACCTGTTGCAGCCAGAAAATTTGAAACAAGCTCATTTTGTGGATAAAAATGTAAAATGTCTCAGTTTCAACATTTGAAATGTTATCTATGTTCTCTTGCAAATAACATATTGGCTCATGTGATCTGAAAGTCATTGCATTTTGATTTTATTCACAATTTACACTTTGTCCCAACTATTTCAGAATTGGGGTTGTATGTTGAGTATTGAGGGCCTGTGAGTTCTGGTAAAGTTTTGGACATAAATGTTTTGAGGGGCTGCAGAATGTATGCTGAATGAAAATGCATTTCAATCAGGAGAGACTCGAGTGAAATCAAGAAAATATTTATTATGCTTTGAGCATAAAGGAGTAACATGCTTAGAATCAAACAAGTCTTTGGTGCTTGGACTCTTCGGGACACTCGTAGAGCAGGAGCACGGCTCAGAGCAGCAGCAGGAAAATCCCCTAAAGAGTCCAGACACTGGTGGCGGTGGTGGCTGAAGGCTGGTGGAGCTGGAGCGGCAGTACAGGAGGTCCGATGAGTAAGGTGGTGATGGGGAGGAGGAGGGTCAGCGAACGGCAGCATGGGTGAACTAGGGTAGAGAGAATGACATTTTTTAAAAAGACAGCAGCAGAACGATTGGCTAACGACACGACTGAGGTGTGCCCCGGTTGGATAGAAGAGATCAGCTGCTACGCCAGCTGACAGCTCAATTGACAGCCCCGGACATTGACTGTGGAGATTTACGAGTGAACATGCGTGAATAAAAATAGACAGGGTTGACGAGCGAGAGAGGGAGAGTCTTCCTGACTGAACTTTCGCTAAGCTTCATTTTGCGATGCCAGAAAAATACGCCACGGCCATTTTCTCCAAAAATAAATAAATACACTGAACAAAAATATAAATGCCCCATATCGAATATTGATGCCACATGGAGTTAACAACTCTAAGTGAGCATATGCTGACTTTTACTTGTACAATAGGGATATTTCTCTTGATTTGTGTACTATTTTTTAATCCATCTCTCTGTCAGTGAGCATTTGCTCAGTGATGCAGTGATTTCACTCAGTACATGGGTGTGGCATTTCCAGACGGTGATCAGACACTCCTTATACTGGGGACAATAAAAGGCCACCCCAAAATGTCAAATTTTGTCAAAAGTCATCATGCCTCAGATGTCTCAGGTCATGCGGGAACGTGCCATTGGCATGTTGGATGCAGGGATGTCCACCAGTGCGGTCGCTATGCAGCTGAATGTTAATTATCGGATGATAGGCCATTTGAGAGTTCGTTTCCGACAGATGGGCAGTACTGCAAATCGACCTCATCCACATCGGCCACGTGTGACCACACCAGCACAAGATCGCTACATCCGGCTCGTCCACCTGCGGGATCGGCTGAGATCAGCGGCACGCACAGCGGATGAGACCGTTGGTCTGCACAACAGAGGCATCAC